TTCCAATCTTGTTTTCAAACTTGAAAACTGCCTTCTTCGAACAGGACTACAACTACCATATAATTTTGTCTACAACTTGTCATTTAAGACTTTCTCAGATGTAGTCCTGATTAGCGTCCAAGTCCACACAAAGATATCCATCTTCTTCATGTATGTAAAGGGAAATCTTCAAATATGTTTGTGGTTTATAGTCGCCATTAAATTCTGTTAGGAGAATTCTTCATCCCACCTCAATATCAGAATCTCTTACCAAAATAAGTGGGAGCTGCAACTCAAAATCAGGGTGGAGATCTGAGAATACAAAAAAGAATGTAAAATACATGAAGAAATGAGTTTGTTGCAAATTCAGTGGAAAAAACCTTGAATAACTAATATAATAACACAAGATGTTACGTGATTTCACATTTAATGTGACTAATAATTTCATAGGTATGGAATGTTCCCATTAACCTTCAAAGTCCGCAATAATGCAAGGGGTATAATACTGTGTAAAACTTTAATAAATATCTCTCCTCTTTTAAATTCTCACTAACAAAAACTCGGAGGAAGGAAACAAAGATTTATAAGTGGGGTCAAAACTCACTTCTCTATTTGTTTTTACTTGACTCCGTTTTTATTGGAAATGAAACATTATTTAGGCATGTTGTGGAATTCAGATTGTTTTTCTTTTAAAGTTAATTTTAAAATATTGCTACCGTTCTTAGAAATGGAAATGTTGATAAAGCCAGTAACAGATATGTCTAACCCTTTCACCCTATATGTGTTTTTGTGTTAAAAAATAATTCTTAACAAAACTTTTCCTATCTTACATGGATAAAAGTTATACTGTGTGTGGGAGGGGGGTGTAGAGAGAGTGAGAAACGAGGAGGAGGGAGGAGGAGGAGGAGGAAAGGAAGGAAGGATATAAATGAATAAATAAAATAAATAAAATTATAACTGGAGAGTTGAAAAGAGCAAAATTCTAAGGTTCTAAGATTTACACTACTGTGGTCAGGAGCACATTCAGGAACCTGATGTCCAAACTATGGATAAAATGTAAACAGGATTCAAATATTCCTTTCACCTATCCAAATTTCATAAAATTATTCAGAAAGGTTTTGATTCAGTGTATTCAGTACCTGAAATAACCTTGAGCTTGAGTTAACACCTACTCCTACACATCAACTATTAACTGTATTGGCTTGTATGATGTGCGATTTGAATAGTAAAATAAACTTGTAAAAACAGTTTGACAATAGTTAGCAAGAGTGATGTTGGGCTCCTTTCTTTCAAATGAGTTTATGGAAACTGGGGGCATCTTCTGTGAAGAGCTTATAGGTGCAAGGCGAAATTGAAATGGGCTATTTCCAACTCAGTTCTATTTTCATTTGTTTAAGAGGATAGTGCAGAGCACCAAGCTTACCTCCCCAACATTGAAGATTTCTGCCCACTAGATTGTTCCTCGAGTCCCATTTCATCTGTTGCCAGTGACTTATGTGTGGTGGACCTTCGATGCTTGTGAACTAGTGCAACAACAACAAAATTAAATCACTGATTTTTTTTGTTATTATTTCATAAAACACAAAAGAAATAAATCTTCCATTTGAGTAAAAACTAAGTCTTAATCTGAGCAGACAAATAGTTCTACATTCAATGTTATCTTACATTCTTTAGTAAACAATTTTCCTTTTTCAAAATGAGAGGCTGTCACAGTCTAGATGTATTTGTGTGTGTGTGTTATCAAAGCACTTTAAGAAAACAATTCTAGACACAATATGATATCAGTTTAATACATTGCACTCTTACATACCTTACTCCTTGAACTATTACTATTTTACCACTCTAGGTCTAAGGAAAGAGTTTCATTAATAATTACAAGCAGTCTCAAGCTACAGAGATGATGGGAGAGTATCTGAAGGGCAAAGCTTTGATCTTGTCATACTCTGTTCCCTCCAATTCCAAATAATTTTTGGGTTATCTAACTGGATTTTCCATCCTCTTCAACATATTTCCTTCTCCAAAATGTGCCCTTAAAAACCCCATGTTTTCTTTTGGCCTCACCCAGAATCCCATAAAATTTAATTAGTGGAAATTGATCGTTTTGTTTTAGATTTACTGGTCAATTCTACTCTGGATGAAAGCCAATAATATATGGTCCTCTTCAACAGCTCCCAGAGCTATTTAATCCATTTTACCTATGGTAACACTTTTAGCTGTCTGCCAAGAATCCTCTCTGATCCTAATGTTTCATTCAGATGGTTGTAAGATTTTATGCCATCCTCTTTTCTGCCTTCCTGTTCTTAACACTATCTCCTAAGAGAATCTAACCTACCTTCTATTTCCAGGTCCTTATCAATAAAATTAAGTACAAAAGTAAAGGAAAATATTTTGCTCAGGTTATTTTTTAATCCTCCCACTATTCACTATAGAGTCCACACATTGGTGCTGGTCTGTGACAAACTGGCACCAAAGCATGGCTGTCTGCTAGTTTATCACAGAGCACATTTTCTTGAGTAGTTTTTCAGGATATATTTATAGAGGGCTATTTAAAAATGAATAAAAAGATTGTTCATTCAATGTAAACTGAGTGGAAGAAGTCATTTTTATTGCATATACTTAACCCATGTTATCTTGATTAATTAACCACATCTAAGCTACTCTTCATTTTTTTTATTTTTAAAAAATCTGCTAGCATAGCAATTTATCTGGGTCAGTGAGACAAATTGGGCAGCAAAAAGAAGGCAATTAATCCAGATAAGAGGGTTAAATTCAGCTTTAAATAAACTCAATTGTGCTTAGAGTTAGACGACTCCATCACGTCAGCTGAATCCTGAGAATACTCAAGTCAGCCGTCCATGTTTGTATACCTAGTCCCCTGAAGAAAAGAGAACAAAGTGGCCAAAAAAGGGAAAAATGCATTATAAAATTCATTGCCAAAGCCTGGCAGTCCAAAACATATGTCCCAATAACTTATGCCATTCAACAGTCAAGATATCAATTGCTCCCTGCCCAATAATAGGAACTTGGCTAGTGAAATTTATAACCTTATTAGTACTATTAGTACTAGTACCAAGGCTCCAAAGTAACCACACAAATCTTTAAAAAAACGGGTAGATGTTCATTAACTCCAAAGCCAATTGACTTTTGATCTTACAGTAATTGTCTACTGTCAGAGCCTACTAAGAAGAGCCAACTAGGTTAGTGGCTTGCTGGGGTATTGTACACATTGTAAGAAGAACCTGTCTCTAGTTTGCAAAGCATATGTGGTGGACTTTGACCAGCTTTGTGCCCACTCCTCTCCTTATATGGCAAAGTAATTTGTTAGTCTTTAATAGAAAGGTTTAGACAGGTTATCTTCTAGATAAAGCAAAAATAATTTCAATACGTGTTCAGGATTAAACTTTTGTCAATAAAAGTTTTCATCTGGTGAGCAGTATGGGATTCTCCAGGTAGTTTTTAAAGTGGTGGAATTCTGCAACGGAATAATTCTGAAGTTTTTATTTGAATTTTTATTTTTATTCATCCATGGAATTATTTCTGAATTCTCAATGAAAGGATAGTGTTGTAAATTTTAGTGAAAAAAGACAGCACTGGCAGTGCATTGTCAATTTATCTTAAAAATGCAGAATTCATAGAAGATTCTCATCTATATGGATCCAAACCATCTACAGTAAGTCTTCATAAGTAATCATAATAATTTGCTTTTATATGTGGTCTTTTGTTAACATGTTTTTTCTAAGATACATGTATTATTTATATTTGACAATCAATTTATACACATTAAAGTGATGAAAACAAGAAAACAGTGCATCTGCTTCCATATTTTACAAAATGCCTTTGCATAACACTAGGAAAGGCAAAGAATACCTGCCTACATTATATAGGCTAAAGCAGACCTCCAGGAGAATTTCCCTCTTTAACCACTACCCCAATAGAAATTCCAAACCAACATTATGCAAAATCCACAGCACAATGAAAAACAAAAGTATTTTACTCTTAAAGACCACTTTTTATTTTCAAAATTGCAGATTAATAGTTGAGGGGATTTTTAAACACTTGTCTACTTTTTGATACATAGGAAGAGAGGTTCCTAGAAGGAGAGATTTCCAGAAACATCTCAGTCATTTTCTGCAAATATAACAGAGGCTTGTGACACCATAAACAAACATGTACATAATTATTATGTCCTGAACTTTGATGAACTGCAATTCATGCTCCATCAGATATAAAGGGCAACAGAGAAAAAACTATTATAATAATATTTGTTTCTGAGCTTTAAATATCCTGTGATGAGAGACAGTATTTAAAAATAAATAAACTTTTTTTCCAAGATCATTGTAACTTATTTTCACAAAACCTCTGTGAATAATCTATAGCTGAATTAATTCACTCTATAACCTGGCAAAAACAGATCATATTATAATGATAGAAATTCAAGAACTAAGCGCTGCATAAAATGCTGGCATCAACTATATCTCTACGACTAGTATAATGCTCTTATCCCCCCAAAAAGGATTAATCCTCCTGTTCAGTTTCCAATGTGAAACCTGCTTTCTAGACAATATCCTACTGAAAACTGGCCAATAACTATATGGAATGGTCTAAAAGTTTGAAATTAGAAGTATAATTTGGATATATTTATATAATTTATCCATATAAACTGGACAAAATATCTGAAACCTGTTAAGGGTTAATTTCTGAGATAGATTAATGTTGCTAAACATGAGTGAAGATTAATGGCAAAGACTAATTAAATAGCAAAACTGACGAGCTAGGATTCATAAAATGCTCTATTTCTTTGAGGATATGATATAAACAAATCTTACTATTCTGTGTGTTAAAGTAGGAATGTGTGAAATAGCCTGACTCTAACTTCTATTCTTCAACTTTGATTGAAGACATCTGAAATAAAGCTGTACCTTTGTGTGTGCATTCTTAGTAGATTAGATGAGATGGAGATTTAAAATGGCAATGTAATCAATACATTCAGGTAAAGATGAGTACAACTATTCATACTTTCCGATAATTAGAACTTAGTTGTCAGTGTATTTCACATTTTATTTCCATATCACAAGAATTAGAAATATGACACCTTTGGCATTAGAGGCTCTGATGTTCATCAAATGACAGTTACATTCATTAAAAAGAAAAGGCCCAAATCTTGCAAAAACACCAAATGTCATCAGATTATTAAAATCTCTTGTGATATATGATAAGTTTTCATTATTCCCACTTGGGAACTCATAATATTCCTGGGTAAGGTTGCTGAAAGCTGATGAGCTTTCAAAAAAATGGGAAAGGGACACTTATACAGGATTGCATATTGTCAGAATATATTGACACCCTATGATTATCATTTCATGTTCAACATAAATCATACTAGGATACTAAATAGGAGCAATCAACATAAATCATGAGCTATAACAACAAAATTATAGTCATAGGAATATAAGGAAATAGGTAATATGATAGCTGAGAGGATAACAATGCTTCAGCTAGTGACAGAGGTATCAGTACTTACCATAGCATTGGAGTATTCCTAGCATTACTCCGGCTAGAAAGAAAACCAGGATCACTATTGAAGAAATAAGGACCCAAAAAGGTAAAATCAATGGTGGCAATGTTGGTTCAGAACAGTTATTTGTCACATCTGAAATAAAAGTTGAATGTAATATTGAGAAATCCAGGATCATAGTGAAGAAATCATTAGTTCTATGATACACTCAATTAGAGTAGAATAGAATAGAATTCTTTTATTGACCCAGTGTGATTGAACACACGCAAGGAATTTGTCTCCAGTGCATAAGCTGTCAGTATACATACAAGCAGCAAGTGATAATCATAAAATAAAATCATCATAAAGCAAGAAGTGTTCATCATAATCATAAAATATAATAGACATAAATCATTGATACAACTTTCAGTGACAGTCATAGGATACTAAGCAATCAACATAAATCATACTACGATACTAAATAGCAGCAATCAACATATATCAGGAGATATAACAACAAAATTATAGTCATAAAAATCTAAAGAAATACCCTGTTTCCCTGAAAATTAGACCTCCCCAGTTTCCAGTTTCAGTTTAATAGAATTTGTATGCCACCCACTCCCATTGGGACCAGATAGTAAGCCCAATCGGGCTTTTGAGTGCATGCGCTTAAATAAGCCCTCCCCCAAAGATAAGCCCTCCTCAAAAATATTGCAACACAGCAGCAGCCATGAGATGACCATGCTCACCGCCTCCTGCACCTCAAAAATAATAAGACCTCCCTGAAAATAAGGCCAAGCGCTTATTTCAGGGATCAAAAGAAAATAAGGTCCTGTCTTATTTTCAGAGAAAGATTTATTTTCGGTAATATGATAGATGAGAGGATAATAAGCACAGCCTTACTAGGTGGTTTAACTTCCTAGGACATAGACAGTGTTGTGGGAATTAGTTGTTTAACAGAGTGATAGCATGAGGGGGAGGGGGGACTGTCATTATGTGCGGTTGTTTTGATGTGCAATGCCCTATAGTGTTGTCTTGAAGGAAGAAGTTGAAACAGTTTATGTCCAGCATGTGAGGGGTCTGTAGATATTTTCACGGCCCTCTTTTTGACTCCTGCAGCGTACAGGACCTCGATGGAAGAAGGCAGGCTGCTTGCAATTATATTTTCTGAAATCCTAACTAGCCGTTGAAGTCTGTGTCTGTCTTGTTGGTTGTCTTGAGGGTTGTAGAGGTGCAAATGTAGCATCATGATATAATCCTCATGAAGTCAAAGTGCTATATGAATTCAAATAAGAAGCCTTGAAGAAAAAAATAATGGATGAAGACGAAGAAGAAGAAAAAGCGGGGGTGGGTGAAATCTGAAAAGGTTGTGTTTGTATAATCAAAAATAAAAAAGCTTAAAAACAAAAAATAACATGAAGTAGCATAGCCATATAGCGAAAACAACTGTATAAAGGCCTAGAAGTTTATGGAATATACAAGTAAATGGTGTAAACTAGCATTAGCTATAGATGGACATTGCATCAGTCCCCGTGGAACTATAGGCTGCTAAATGTTTCTCAGCTACATGAATACATAACATTATCCTCTATTTTCCTCCCCTTACAATGAAAACATTTAATGTTTTTTTCTAAATAATGCTAACACAGCGGGGCCATCTTTTCCTCCTGCTATATCTTCCTTTATCTGCCCACTATGGCTTGAGCCCCTCCTTGCAATCACTGCTCACTATCTTTCATAGCATTTCGGCTGGGCTGCAGCCTTCACCTTTCCCCCAAAAAAGCTTGATTGGTGAGCTCTCTCCGCCTACCCCTGTGACTGATGAAACAGAACTCTAGAATAGTGAAAGATTGTCCCTCCCTCTCTTCCTTTTCACTGATAGAACCAGTTGAAATTAGAGCAAATATGCCCTATATATTGTATGCAGTGGTGGGTTGATGGTGAGTCACTTACTTTCTATTAATTTGTGTGACTAAACATGAATAACTCTGGATCCCATTCATTTCTTTTTCTAACCACAGTAGCAATTTTCATACAAAAATAAGATTTTTTCTTTAATTATTATTAATTCAAATAGCGTGTTTTGTCAATCACTCAATTATTATGTTATACAATCAAATAAGTTTACCTTTACATAAAATGGAGGGAACTTACTCAAGCTATAGTTGGTTGACACTTGGAAATCTAAATAATGAACTGAGCACTGGATCAATATATTTTCTGTCGTGCTTAACTGCAAGGTGCCAGTAATATTAAAACAACCAAATATTTTGTTGCTTGTGACAGTCCAATTCACTGGCTTTTCATTGATAGATCCATACATCTTTGGCTCTGAAGAACCTCCATGAGACAAACATATCAGTGTCAAATTTGTTGAGTCACAACGTTCACTGGACAAATTGCTGGACAAATTGCTGGACAAATTGCTCAGGATAATAGGTGTACTAAATGGAACTGGAAGACAGAAAAAAGACAACGAGATATTAGAGAATATGACTCATATGGAAAAATTGTTTGATATTATTGGAATTTGTTCAAGCAGACATGAAGGCTTTCCCCCTAAATTTCCTTGATTATCCTGAATTTAAGAAAATTCTCTTAAACATTTCAGGCAACGCTGCCAAGTTTCTCTTCTGTGCAAATGTTTTCCCAAAATAGGACAGCATCTTCATTATTAATCTTTACTGAACAGCAATGAAAACTTATTTATTTAATTAGGTACTTGGCGATTAATATAAAATATGTACTGAGAATGTATGTGTGTACTGCTAAGGATGGTGCTAGTGGTTAAATGCAGCACTGCAGGCTACTGCTAGATCAGCAGGTCAGTGGTTCAAATCTCACCGGCTCAGGGTTGACTCAGCCTTCCATCCTTCCGAGGTGGGTAAAATGAGGACCCAGATTGTTGGGGGCAATATGCTGACTCTCTGTAAACCGCTTAGAGAGGCCTGAAAGGCCTATGAAGCGGTATATAAGTCTACTGCTATTGCTATTGCTAACATTGTGATTTTATAGTGATGTTTCAATTATCCAGCTAGCTTTGTGCTATCCAACAATCTTTAAGTCAGGTATACCAGAGGTATACCAAAAGATATACCAGAGTAACATTTGGTATCCCAATTGTTGCACCCTATTCTGTAACAGTAACAAAATCATTGACTGATGCTGTCCTTAACATTTTTTATGTGGGACAGATTAAAGTAAGTATCGATAAACCCTCCAGACTTCATTTCCCTTTCCAATAAGCATTATCCCTTTTCATCCACACAACTGTATAGAACTTCTGAGAAAAATATTAAAATCACTCATGGCAAATTATCAAAAGCTTCAGTTTAGGGTTGGTTGATTGGAGACAGAAAAATGGATATTCAAGAAAGTACACCTACTTTCCTGAAAGAAGTACAATATATTCTTTTTAAGAAGAAACACAATTCATAATCTAATTTTACTTTTACTATTCTAGTTTTATAACTAGTTTATAAAAGTAAATCTAATTCTTTAGAGGGAGACTAAATAAATATTCCTACAAAAAGAAGAAATAGTGGTAGAATAAAAGAAATTAAAAGAAATTTATTTTATTATTTATTACAAATAATTTAGGTGAATTCACTGAGTTTTAACAAAATTGTATACAAATGATAAGCATGAAAATGATGGAACTTGCTGAGCTGCTAAATTAATTTCTTGGGTCAGAAAAAAATTATTGATAACTGGAAACCCTGAATGGATTTCTTTGCATAAATTATTTTATGATTTGTGCTTTTGATAATTAAATAGGATCGATGATAGAAAGAAGATAGCTATGTTGTAACCTCAGACTACTAATAACTGCTGTAAAGAAGACAGAAAGTTTCTTTGTCCTTTTAAATTTTTTATTATTCTTACACTTTCTCTCTCTAGTATTTAACTTTCTCTTTAATTCTTTTTATTTCTTTCCTAGTTTTCTTATATTAGTTTGTATTAGTTTTTATCTTCCTTTTAAAAACTCTTTAATAAAATTAGAGCAAGAGAGAGAGAGAGATATTTTAAAAATGTCAGTAGATTACACTTACCTATTACAGATAAATGGACAAATAATGTTTGTACGTTATTTGGCCATAAGGCAACACATTTATATTCTCCACTATCATTTACTGTCACTGAAGCGAGTGAAAGTGTAAAATTCTTATCTATCTTTGATCTGTTCATGTAAGAGCTGTCCTTTTCTGATTCAACTTCTTCACCGTTCTTGTATGAAATCACAACCCGGTCTGACATCTTTGTAATTCTAGGAATAGGCTTTTGCCAGTAGATGTAGTAATATGCTGGAGATGAGCCTTCAGGGATTTTGTGACTGCAAGGAAGTCTGGCTTCGTCTCCTTCTTGGACTACAACCCTTAATTTTTGACTGGGAGTACCTAAGGAAGAAAAATATACACAAATGCACAATCAAAACTATGACCTACATCTATTCTTCAAGTTTTTCATTACAAATATACTTTGAAATAATGTGGGAGAAAATAGGGATGAATGAATTAACAAATATATTGAGATATCATCATGTAGTAGAATCAAGTGAATAAAACTGTAAGTCCACTCTGTAATGATTGCCTATATTTATTTACTTATTAGATTTATTTGCCAATCGTCTTGGCAAGTAAACTCTACATGCAATAAGGCTTTAGAAAACCATAGAAGATAAATTATTCTAAAATGATAAAAAATGGAATTACAAAGATAAAATAATGGTTAAAAGCTGGGGAGAGAGAGAGCAGGATGCACAGGGAGAGTGGTGAAATTACCTCTTAATTCATTAACCACTTCCTCCGTTGGGACCCCAAGCCATCTGGAAGAGCCAGGTCTTCAGGCTCTTATGGAAGGTCAGATGGGCGGGAGCCAATCTTACCTCAGGGGGTAAGACGATCTAAAGAGCAGCTGTGCCTTGGACCTTGTACCCCTTAATACAATGTGCTCTGAAGGAAAGCTTTCAGTAACTACATAATGTCTCCAATACAGATAGTCATCAACTTACAACTACAACTGAGCCCAAAATTTCTTTTGCTAAGTGAGACTTTTGTTGAGTTTTGCCCCTACTTTTCTTGACACAGTTCTTAAGAGAATCAACACAGTTTTTAAATTAGCAACACGGTTGTAAAAGGAATCTACATTCCCCATTGACTTTGCATGTTAGAAGGCTGTAAACAATGATTATTTACTGTAAAAAAAGTAATTCCATATTTGCAGAGCTTACAATTTAACTGCTTTTCTTAGCTAAGGTAATCTGTATGGGTCCATTAATAATGTGAGCTAATCATGTCTTGATGGTATGCAAAAATGATATCTCCATCTGCTAAGCGATAATCTCTTATGGCAAAAACCTATGATGGATATTAGTAGGCAGACAAAGTACTCATGTTGGTTAAATGGAAGGATCGAGCACATGTACAGTATGTATGTGCATACAGGATCTGATGGGAGTCAGACTAAATGTATATGGGATCCTTGGTGCTCTCTAAGCTTGGTTGTTTTCTTGAACAGTTTTCATTACCAAACTAGGTAACAACATCCAATTTCCCATAAGAGAAGCTCAATAAGAAACTATTTAGATTAAAACAAACACACTGCAGCAACCATCAACACCAGAAAATGGAGACAGGTCATCTACACAGCTTCTAGCAAAATGTATATTTGCTTAGCTTTATCAAAAAGTGCCTGGCCTCTCAACCTAATATATATAAACAACAGTTGTGGAAAGGATATCACTGTTGTACAACAAAAATATCTCAAAAACCTCCAAGAGCCACATGGCATCACCATGACACACAAATCAACTAAACCCCACCAAAACATCCTAAGTAAAATAAAAGACCCAGCAGCCCCACAAGAAAAAACAGAAGTCATCTACAATAGCAGTTCCCAACTTTTCCACCTTGGCAGCTGCCCCAGTTTGGGGGGGGGGGCATGTGAGTGGCAAGCACACACATGAGTGCATAGCTCCATCGGTGTGAGCACTCTCTACTCATGTGAATTGATCTTCATGCACGAGCGGAGGGTGCTTGAGTGAAGGGCGCTTATGCTCACGCGCAAATGGAGCTTCATGTGTGAGGGCCCTCTACTCATATGAGTAGAACCTTCCACACAGGAACAAACACTCTCCACTCAAGAATCCTGCATTCATGCACGCGGAGCTTCATGCACAAGTACAATGTCCCATTATTCACGTGAGTGGAGCTTCACTTGTGCAGCCTGGTTTCAAACAGGCCGTGGTCCAGTAGTGGGCTATGGCCACTGATCTACAAATTACAGTGCCACTATATAAGACAAACAGCAGAAAACTAACAAACTGCATCCATGAACACCAACTAACAGTCAGGAGACATGATGAAAACTCTTTAGTTTCACATGGACGGAGACAACCATAGTTTCAACTGGGAAACTGTGAGCATCCTAGACCAAGCCAAGTCCAAATGCTAGAGAATTCCTGGAAGCCTGGCACTCAGACAAATCAGCCATTAAAAGGCATGTAAAGATAAATAACCTCTATGTACTATTCAAAAGATACAATCAAAAAAGCCAAAAGGGAAACAAAAGACCAAAACATCACACCACCAGCAGTCACCAGCAGTCAACACCAGAATTAACACTGGACCAACAATCATGAAGTAAAGAATGCCCAAATCAAGGAACCACACCAACTCAAACCAATAAGTTAATCAATGAACCACCAAGACTACTCCCACCAGTGTCAAGGAAAGCTGCTAAGATATAAAATGAAAACAAATCACACTCCCTGTCTAGCATTGATGATGTTACCTAGTTTGATCATGAAACATCTGCAAGAAAAAAAAAGTTCAGAGAGCACCAGACTCCACAGTTCAATTCTGAACTACAAATATTCTCTTCTATCGGTACCATATTAAACATATTTTGTGAGTTGATAAAGAAATCTCTGAATGTGTTGCTACAATAATAGAGTAGCACCACTCTCAGCAGTTACATACATTTAGAAGAGAAATAAAAAATAAAACGTTTTGTTTTTCTACATTGCTTACTTCTGCCTCTTGCTTTTTCCCCATCTGTCAAAGAGCAACTTACACTGTCAAGTGATACTAGAATTCAAGTAAAAAAAGGATCCTATTCCCTTGCTTTTTCCTACATCTTCTCTTTTTCTATGTAAGATTTAACACTAACAGAGAAGCCACTAAAGCTTCTTTTGATTTATATGGACTTTGGTTTGCATTCAAATTATGTTGTGCAGCTTACAACTTGTTCCAAGTTCCTAAATCATTTTGCTACAGACATAAGGACATCTGAGAAGGTTTAAACCCATCCAATGTCCTTTCTATAATTCATCTGTCCTTTTTAAGTATTTCACAAAAGACCACTTCTCTCAATATAACTATGAGTGTTAATTTTATTTTCTGTAGAATTCTATGGGGGCGGTGTGGTCAACTGTGAATGGTAACCCCTCAATATGGGAAATCAGCAGTCTGATTATCAGTTTCTGAAAGGCTTCTAAAGGTTTCTAAAGGTTATTTTGACTTACATGGACTTTGGTTTGCATTCCAAAACCCAAACTATAGTTTTCTCAAAGTGCTTGTTCAAAAGACAACTGGATATGTTTTTTTTTCTTTAAAGAAGAAGACATTTCGCTTCTCATCCAAGAAGCTTAACCAAATGTGTAGGTGGTTATAGTTTTGCCCACAGCCTTGTCTCTACACTTTCAGAAAAAGAGAACAAAAACCATTTCGGCAAAACATACATAAGCTTACATAGAGATATTGGAATTTTATTTTTATTTTTTGCTAATATCACTCCTATCTTTGTAGACCATGAAAGTGTAACTTGCATATGCTTAAAGCACAGAAGAAGTTTTCCAAAGCACCAGAAGGCAAGGCAAAAACAATGGATGGAAACTAATCAATGAGAGAAGCACTCTGGAATTAAGGAGAAACTTCCTAATAGTGAAAACAATCAGCTAGAGGCTTTTAAGGAGAGACTGAACAGCCACTTGTCTGAAATAGAATCTTCTGCTTCAACAGGGGGTTGGACTAAAAGACCTCCAAAGGCCCTCCCAGCTCTATTCTGGTTAATTAATATAAATGTGGACAGGGAGAATGATGTTGCCCACAGTTATGGAACAAGTATAACTACTTCTTGCTAAACATAGAAGACTAAACATATGTTTGTATAAAAGCAATGGGGAAATCGAATGACTTTAACCCAAAGATTTAGGAATAGAAGTGAACTGTTGGCCCTAACCTGAATAAAATTGGCTGTGTACTTTAGCAACCTTTCAATGAAAAGGAACAAAATTGGTCTTTCTATTGATATAATTTGGATCAAATTATACAAGAAACAATGTGATGTATGGTGACTAAGGATTTGAACCTGAGTGTCCTTGATCTATATCCATCATTATAATCATTATGTGTTCAATATATCATCTCTTACTTATTTACTGCAAATAAACAGCATTTAAGAGATGACTGCATGTTATATTGCATGTTATATTGCCATCAAAAGAAAGGAAATGAAAGTGTGTTTGGCTGCTGTACGTCTCTGCTGTCATCCCAAGGGTGTGCACGACATGTAATTACTCCTCATAGTCAGCTTTAATTTTCAATAGGGGATTCCCTGAAAAAGTGAACTGATATTTAAAAGCATACCATAAAAGAAAGAAGAAGTGCAGCCTACACTAGAAAGTAGTTTGGCGTAACAATGACTCCAGCATTGACATTTCTAGTGAAAGCAAGCTTAGACATGAAAAGTGCATTTTAAATAAAAGCTATATATTTAAAAAAGGGACGTGGGTGGCTCAGTGGCTAAGACGCTGAGCTTGTCGATCAGAAAGGTCGGCAGTTTGAATCCCTAGTGCTGCATAATGGAGTGAGCTCCCATTACTTATCACAGCTTCTGCCAACCAACAGTTCGAAAGCATGTAAAAATGCAAGTAGAAAAATAGGGACCACTTGGTGGGAAGGTAACAGCATTTTGTGCGCCTTCGGCGTTTAGTCATGCTGGCCACATGATAGCAGCAATAGCAATAGCAATAGCAATAGACTTATATACCGCTTCATAGGCCTTTCAGGCCCCTCTAAGCAAGCGGTTTACAGAGAGTCAGCATATTGCCCCCAACAATCTGGGTCCTCATTTTTCTACTTGCATTTTTACATGCTTTCGAACTGTTGGTTGGCAGAAGCTGTGATAAGTAATGGGAGCTCACTCCATTATGCAGCACTAGGGATTCAAACTGCCGACCTTTCTGATCGACAAGCTCAGCGTCTTAGCCACTGAGCCACCCACGTCCCTT